AACTACGGTGATGTAAACTCTAACCTTAACAAAACGTCGGATGTCTTGGCAGCTCCACGGATGTTGCGGGTCGTCGAAAGTCACTATTCGGTATTCTATCGGCCGACATCAAGCTGCACCATACATTATATATATATATATATATTGTGTATTGTACTTCACACGCGTTTTAGTTCAGACTGGGTGCAAAACAACCTGTGATACAACATTTTGTACAACAAAGTATGGAATGAAACAAACTGACCATCGTTTTGCCTATTTACAGGTAACTCCCGACTTCTTAATTGGGACACACAAATGATCACTTGTTAGCGACATGACGAGCCATAGTTTTGAGCAATAGCGCTAAACGCGTGTTTTTCTCGTATCTACCAAATCAAGGGTGGTGGTGGCGCAGGGGTTTAGTCGCTGTCACCGGAGTGCTTTGAACCCTGTGGTCCAAGGTTCGAGCCCCGCCACCGCCACCCGAATTTGGTGGTAGGCAGCTCTGCTATCGTCCGGTTCAATACCACGCCTAACCTATCGGGGTCTTCTGTGGTTCACCACTCCAAGTCCCGGGGCTTAGGTTACCGGTTTCCATCACTGAACAGCAGGTCCTCTTGACTATGGGGTTCACCCCGTCTGCTGTTCAATACACTTGTGTATTAAAAAACGGACACCAACATAAATGCAACAAAACAAGCAATTCAGTATCACTTATTTCGTACGAATGCTAATTACTGGTAGTTGTCAAATGAAATACAGCAACAAATCTCCGCTTTCTACACCTGTCGTATATACTCTCCTCTGCGAAACTTTATTGCGTGTGTTTGATATTGTTTTTTTTACAGCTCCTAATCATACAGCAAATGATTTCTTCAATCTTGAGCACTATTGCACTGATTCAGTGGATGATTTATGGGACACCTTTTGCCCCCATGTTTCTCGTTTCAGGTACTGAACATAGTTCTTTTGCTTATCACAGCGATGGATCAGTGTTCCATGGATCTCCTACATTGTCCTCGAAGTTTGGTCCTCGGTTTGCTGAAAATGATACGGTGGGCTGCGGTGTGGATTTTATATCACGTAGTCTGTTTTTCACACGAAATGGGGTTTTCTTGGGCAAAGCTTTTGAAGGAGAAATTCCGGTAAGTCTGTCAAGCCATTCACACAATGTAAATTACTATATTGTCAATCTTCCTTCCTGTTCAGGCGCCCACAGTTTTCTTCCCAAAAGCTATCTGTTTCGATCGAGATCGCAAACAAATTAGATTGAAGTTATTCAAAATTACCTGTTGCACATATCATTAAATTGTATGGGGACAACTCAATAACAGATCAGTCTTCCGCATCAGTCTGTCAGGAATGCGACAGTAGTCCGTCGACGAGTTTCAGATTTTACAAACTGTGATTCTCAAGTTTGCGCATAGTCTACCAAGACGGTTCTAAAGGTACTGTTCTAAGCGAATTATCACACGTGGGTCAACTTCAACCTCCCAACCTGTGGATATAGAGGTCGACCGAAAGTAGAAAGACAGGCTCAAGGAACTATGCCAAAAGTTTTCATGGAGCTTACTAGAACAAGCGATTATTGACATCTCAATATCATATGCTTGTGGACTTGATTTCCCGTGCTTTGCCAATGAGGCTCGCACACTCCACAGCGCAGAGTCAACCTGGCAGTATTCAGCCCACATGTCAATCATGGAACGCTTTTGTCTTTTATAAAGAATATTGTACCGTGATTTGTTTGGCACAGTCTGACGTCAGGTGTGTGAAATATATATATATATATATGAAACCTCACAATCTCTACTCGGAACTCGCAAAACGCGAAAATTGAATAAATATTTGGCTTGATAGTTTCGATGTTGATCCTCAGCTATAAAACGAACGGGCCTAGGAACGTTGGGTAGCTACATTCCATGATACTTCCTTGGCCTTTGCTTAGTTGACTTTCACAATGTGCCTATCGTATACAAGCCATCGGGGGCTCGTACAAGGAGTCGCCGTTACCATGTGTTATTTTTGTGCATGGTTGTGAGCAACAAACTGTATTGTCGAGGTCAAGTCAAGTTAAGTCAAGAGTGCACTTTATTCATCCAATGTGGACAGAATTTTCAGTGAAACGAATCTTATCGCTTTCGCTTTGGCATTGCGCGCTATTAAAAAAATGAGCTCTAAGATATGACAAATAGTTACTGAAATGATAATGAATCGGACACCGAGAACGCGTAAAAAATGAAGAAAATGTCAGCGTGGAAATTTATCTTTGTGTATAAGTTCATTTGATATTCGCTCCCTAGAAACCAACAAACGTGAAAGATAAGGTACAACGGAGTTGTGAAAAGCAGTGGTACGAGTATATAAAGGTCTAACTTTATTGCGGGTTACAGAAGTTGAAATGGAGCTAGGTAGAGCTGTGTGTAAGGAACGTAACGAACCGGACAAGATGGAGTCACACAGATGGTCACACGCATTCAAGTGTTGGTTGACAATGGAATCAACCAGCTCCTCATAAGATACAGTTCCATATCTATAGATGCTTTTCAGAAGCGTCTGATTACTATGAAATCCTTAGGCAGTAGACCGGGAAAGATAACAGGAGAGCAGTAGGTCCAATGGCATAAAACGCATGAGAAAATAAATTTGGAGATGATGTACAATGGCACCCTCAGATGCCGAAGGCGTGAAATATATAAAAGGTCAACCTTCTGACTTTAAGAAATGTCTGTTCTACGTGATAGGACCATTTGAAGTCAGCAGACACGAAGCATCCAAGATATTTGAAGTGTTTTGATCTTTCAACTTTCAAGTTATTGATCAAGGTATTAGGAACAGATGATCCAGAAAGAGTTGATGGCCTACGGTCAATGGAAAACAAAACTTCAATGCATTTATTGGGGTTTAAAGAAAGGTTAACACCATCGGATTTTTCAGAGATGGAACTTATGGCTGATGGAAGGGGGTTAGTTGAAGGGTTGTTGTTGTGGGATGGACCACCAACTACAATGTTATCGGCATAGTTAAAAGTGAAAACACTTGGAGTGACTGGCAAAATTTGGATATAAAAGGAGAACAGAGAAGGGGATAAAATTGCTCCCTGCATTACACCCTGGTTTACAGCAACAGTAGAAGACCTAATACCATTGAGACAAATGAACTGGCGTCGGTCGGTAAAATAGTCGTGTGTCCAATTCAAAGATGTGGCGGGAGATTATTTCGCTGTAACAGTGTCAATAGGATGTTTCTGTCGGCAGAGTTATACGTGTTTGTGTAGTCCAAGAAACAAGCGTGAACAATTTTATGTTTTTGTTCTATAGTGGATAAAACAATGTATAAGACAAGCAACCGCATCTAAAGTAGAGCGACGTTGACAATAAGCAAACTGATTGGAATCACGAAAATCAAGATTAGATGATAGTTACTAGATCAAAATTCACTCAAAGGACTTGAGCAACACTGAATATGAAGCATAAGGCCGAAACTTACCCTTCTCTTTCTTAGGCACTGGAGTGATGCGCACATCATGCGATGTGTTAACTAGACTTCCTTCTGACAGACATGTATTACAGATAAGTAAAACGGTTTGTGCGAGGTGGTTTGTACATGTTTTAAAGACCACTGGGGTTAACCCATCAGAATCAGCGGATTTATTTCCATTGACAGCATTTAACTCCTTTGAAACTTGCTCTGTTGTGATGGACACAGGAAGGTGGAAATCAAGTAACGTGTTCGGACTCGGTAAAGCTTACACAACGTTTTTCACTGAAGCAAATGATTTGTTGAGCTCATTCATATCACATAAGACTGTAGTAGGTAAAGTTGAACGACCACAGAGCAACTTCAGTCCGTTCCAAGGCTGACGGCAGGATTTTTCTCCTAGCACGGTGTCAGCATACAATTGATTGAGATGGGCTACCTCGCTTCTGATGTGAAAGTTGACATATTTGACCGTCAGTTTATCCTCTATAACCTCACTAGCTATCCAAGACGGAATACCTTGTTTGCAGATTCACAAGTATCTGAAGACCTCATTAGACGAAAACGAGGGGAAATTCAGTCTCACAAAAACCTGAATTCTCACCGATTAGTTTAATTATCGGGAATGTCATGCTAGAACCGTGCAGAGTGGAAGGTAGCTCTCTGTATCGACGGCAGCCAGTAGTTCATTATTAGACAGATAGATCGGAAACCCCGTGTAAATTATCGTTTCTTTTGCGCAAGAAACTAATAGGGCCAGAAGGATACTGTAATGTGTGACAACCCCCCTTGCTTCTTTTTCGGTAGTTCAATGTTCTGCACAAACCACCGAATCTCTTCCACAACCAGATTAGTTTTGGTTTTGTGTGCGTTGAAGTCATCTGATTGCATAAGTTTCATAAGTGTCCTCTTTCGCCTCAATAGATGCTCCTTCAACTAATGCCACTACTGTTTTTGGTATGTGGTAAATGGACTAGTGTAATACCCTACTGTTGTTGGGCTGGTGGGTATCGTTCACTCTGATAGTGATTCTCAAAAAATCAGACTTCCGACCTCAAATCAGTTGTCACTCAAGAAGCAATCTCAAGGTTTTTACCACCGCCATCCAATGTTAGTGGTGGGCTACTTATCTGTCGTCCTTCCCGAAACCACACCTTTTACAGGCGGTAGGCCTTCGATGCTGCACACCTCAGGGTCTCTATCGCTTGTTTCAATATCAAAAGGATACTCTTCCATGATTGGGGAAGTTAACTACGGAGGAAGAAACATCCAAGGTCTTTAACAACTCCTTTTGCTTATAAACGTAAATTCAGGTAAATTACACAACATTCTAAATGCAGTTCATCCCACCTGATGGTTCCTAAAATAAAGGATATGCCGGTTAATTTGGGGTATTTCAAAGAGCATATATTCGCATTTATAGTTTGTTTTGTCCTGTCCATATCTTGTTAGTTCATGAGATGCATTCACGTCGGTTCTATAGTGTGTCACACATCTGATTCGAGACTGCCAAACATATCGCTGTACAATAACCTTCATAACGATGAAAGATGTTAGTGATTTGCTAGCGGGCTAAATATGGCCAGAATAACCAGGCCATAGCAGGTCGACTTTCTTAGGGTACTCACAGCTGGTACTTTCAGTTAGCCAAACCTGACTCGCAAGGCTGCAGGGAGGTGTTTGGTAACAACACTCAAACGGGGTTTGTCGTCCAGTTCGATGAACCTTACGTTTTGAACGAATTTGAACATCCAAAATGTTCGACACACTGAAACCCGAACAAGCCGATGACCACTGCCACAGTCGGGAGGGTGTGTGTGTCTGTAGATATCTGTTGACCATCATCTGTTCTTATCCAGCACCAACTTCCGTCGCTGCTCTCAACGGACAGCAACGTGGTGCTCAAATCTGACTGGCACACTAACTCATCGACCACAT